TTTTTTTATTCCATGGGCCTTATTTTTTGGGCTGCTTAGTAAATTAGGTCTAAATCTAAATCTAAACTTAGTTCAGACTTCTTCTCTCGGTCTCTCTAAACTTAGTAAATTAGGTCTAAACTTAATTCTATATATATATAATATATAGAATTATATTATATATATATAATTCTAAGAAATATTATGTTAACCGATATTTCCGATATATCACCGATATATCACCGATATAACCGATATATCGAATATCGGTCCTGACCGATATTTCGTATTCTGACCGATATAACAGCATAGTTAAGAGTTGAATTATTGCCCGAGTATCCAGGAAGAATTGCAAAGATTCCAAGGCGAGGCTGTGAAAGAAGATAGAATCAAACAAGAATGGTGGGATGAAATCTGAATTGATGAATGACGGCCAGGAATAGTTATGTTTTCAAGGCAGAGTTTGGGTACCGTTTTATGGTGATCTCAGAGAACGCATTTTAAGTGAAGCCCATAAATCTCGTTTTGCTGTCCACCCGGGTACAAACAAAATGTATCGAGACATGAAACAATACTATTGGTGGCCAGGTATAAAGAAGGATATAGCCAGACATGTTGAACGGTATCTGACATGTTTGCAAGTGAAAATAAAACATCAACGCCCTTACGATACGTTGCAAACCTTAGAAATTCCGATTTGGAAATGGGATCACATCACTATGGATTTCATAACCAAGTTACCTAAAACACCGAAGGGTTATGACGCTATATGGGTTATTGTGGATCGATTATCTAAGTCTGCTCATCATTACCGATGAAAGAATCGTATTCGATGGATAGGTTAGCAAAATTATATATTGATGAAGTGGTAACACGTCATGGTGTTCCGTTATCAATAATTTCTAATCGAGACAGTAGGTTCACTTATATGTTCTGGAAAAGTTTTCAAAGAGAAATGGGTTCACAGATTAAGTTAAGTACTGCCTATCATCCCTAGACAGATGGACAGTGAACGAACAATCCAGACACTAGAAGATATGCTTCGAGCCTGTGTCATTGATTTTGGAGGATCGTGGGATAATCATTTATTGTTAATTGAATTCGCATACAATAACAGCTATCACACGAGTATCCAAACAACACCTTTTGAGGTATTATACGGACAAAAATGTCGAACACCGCTGTACTGGAACGAGGTAGGTGAGAGAAACAGTTGGCTGGACCTGAAATAGTTCAACAGACGGCAGATAAATTTGGTCTGATTCGGGAACGGATAAAAGTAGCCCAGGATCGTCAGAAAAGTTATGCTGATAAACGTTGAAAGCCGATTGAATTTCAAGTCGATGATGATGTGATGCTGAAGGTATCACCTTGGAAAGCAGTGGTTCATTTTGGAAACAAGGGCAAGGTGACCCCAAGGTATATTTGACCATTTTCTATCCTTGAGCGAATTGGAGAAGTGGCGTATAAACCAGACCTTCCTGTGAAGTTAAGTGGTATTCATAATACCTTTCATGTGTCAAATTTAAGTGTCTAGCAAACCCCAAAGTAATCGTGCCTTTGCCGGAGATTAAGATTGACGAAAAGTTATGTTTTGAAGAAACCCCTGAAGCCATTACTGACTTCAAAATAAAAGCGTTGCGAAATAAAGAAATTGGCTTAGTAAAAGTTCAGTGGCGTTATCATAAAGGGCCTAAAGCCACCTGGGAACTCGAGTCAGAGATGCGGATAAAATATCCTCATTTGTTTACTTAGAAGAATTCTGAGACGAAATATTTCTAAGGAGAGGATATTGTAATAGTCGGTATCACAATATGGTTGGGTGGTTTTGAAATTATATGGCAATTGAAAGTGCGAGGATAAAAGGTGGCGTTAAGGGTTTTTGGAGGAATTAACATATGAATTATGTTACCTCATAGATGGTATTACTTTGGTTATAATTTGGTTTTAGTGTGATGCATGGGGGGGAGGTGCCTGCTCATGCACCGCCTCCATCACCTTTCTCATCCCTACTTACTATATATAGTAAGTATGGGTTTGCTGGGAAAAAGTTTTACCATTTTTAGAATTTTTCTCTAGGCAATTTTGAAGAACGCAGAAGGTGAAGATCATATCAAAACTGAGTTTTTTTAAGGCAAAGGTGAGTTCCATATTACTTTGGTTATATCTAGTGGTTGTATTTACACCGTATATATATTGCTAAAATGTTAGCATATGTTGTTTGGATGAATTAAAATTGCATTTACTACTACTGTTGCTTTATCGCCCGAGTAAACCTCTCAAGAACAAAACTTATCGGACAAAGCTTGTCCGATGAGGTCCCTCATCGGATAAAGCAGTTATCGCACACAAGGTCAGCAGATAAGGACCCTTCACCGAATACGTATTGTCTGGATAAAACCCCTCACCGATCCAGGTTTGTTCGGATATAATCCCTCACCGATCAAGGCATGTCCGGATAGAATCCCTCATCAATCAAAGTTGTTCGGATACAAAGTGATTGTCCGATAACCCCTCTCCGGACATGGTGTTGTCCGGACAAGGCTTAAGTATGACAAATAAACCCTTTACGGATAAGGTATTGTCTCGACAAGGCTAAAGTACGTCTGGTAAACTCTTTCCGGATAGTGTATTGTCCGGATAAAGTTAAAGTATTGACCAGTAACTCCTTTCTAGTTAAAGTGTTGTCCGGTTGGATCAATTATTAACCTGGATATAACCACGATAGATGAAATGGCGGTGTAACCGCAATAGATGGATTGGCAGGATAACCATGATATAAATTTTATATTAAGGTTCAGGTTTGAATTATCTTGGGTTTTGCAGTAAGTTATATTTTTAAGAGGGTATTACGCTCACTAGACCTTTTGGTCTAACCCTCGATTATTGTACTAAACTGTTTTGCAGGTCATCCATCATCTCAGGATAAAGGCAAGAGAAAAATATAAAGAAGTGATATTTAGAAGAAAGTGTTATCATCGGATAAAATTTTCGTTAATCCATTATGTTATTTTGAAATGTAAATAACCTTGGAATGTTTGTATTATATTGATATGGAGAATGTGGAGATGTATGATATTATTTTGTGTATTAGTACTGTTTCGTGCATGGTGGGTTGTTTCACACAGCTCATATAGAGGAAACCTTCCTAAAAGCATCCTACCAATTACAGCATAGCCAAGATATAAAGCTTAATCTTAATTGATAAGAAGAAATAAGAAACTAAAAAAAATATATCATCCATATTGCTATTCAATATTTTTGAGCTCATAGGGTTGGTAAGATAGGCTAGAGGTGTGTAGTTTCCTTAAATTGGTTATGCCTTTCTTGTACCTACCTCTATTTGTATGTTCTTGTTTTCTCTTAACTAGCTTTTCAGACCTTTATTATTTCCCACTTTTTTCTCTCACACTTTTGACAAGCAAGGAGTCTTCATGGAAACAGCCGTTTTACTCTTTGGGTTAGATCAGGGTCGTTCCTAGGGGAGGGCGGGTCCGGCGCACACCCCGGGCCCATAAGAAATAGGGGTCAACTCTTTTAGTTACAAAAAAAAAAGTAGATAAAAGACCAATTTTTTGATATCTAACAAGACTGAAAAAGAATATAGCAGTATATTAAGGTCCCAAACATATATTAATTAATTACATTGGAGAAAAAAATATGTAAAAGTTAATTGGTAGTTCATTTTGTAGTATTGCTTATTGTTTCTCTAAGTTTTTATATAGTACCAAAATCTAAAAACTACTTTACCTAGAAAACCTTGATATATTCTTCATCATTCATCTTCCACCGACTTTTTTGATTATTTCATCCGCATGAATTCTATTTTTGTATTAGAATATAGTAGATTTCTTGTTATTAACTAAGAACGCTATTAAGTATTATCTTTTGAAAAAATTTACCATCCATATGAGACAATCTAACTTATATCTATATTTGGGATTTCAAAACTACCCTCGTCTTTTCATACTTTATTGACTCCTTATCACCTAATATTGAGTACATGAATCTTAAGTACTCTTCTATCTCTAAAACAAGAATAATATCTCAAACTATAACAAACATTAAGCTTTCGAATCTAATATTGATGGTTATTACAAAAGTCTGTTTTAACCCTAAAAGTTTAAAATGTTGATGAAAAACATTACATGAGGTGACATGAAAACCTAAAAGATTTATATTGATTTACATAAAGTGTTACTCTAAATAGTCAAATATTGAGACGCCAAATTATGTCAATCTATATACCAAAGGTATATTATAGGATGTGTTTGACAGTGGAACGGATTAATGATGCTATGTAAAAATAATATGATATATAATATTAATTTAGAAATAATTATTAATTTTGCGCCTAGGAATACTAGGAAAAACAGTTTTATATGAATTATTAGATTTATTTAATTCAATGTTATTTTTGTTGGCAAAAACAATATATTGAAAAAATAGTACTTATTGAGGGCTCTTTTTTACTTCTCGCCCAGGGCCTATAAAATGTCAGGAACGGACTTGGGTCAGATACGTACATCTTATCTTCCCCAAAACCCACCTCCGGGTGGGATATACCGGGTCCATTTGGTTTGATTTGGTTATATTCTCAAAATCAAATTAAAATAGAAGAGACTTGGCCAGCCATAACTTTATAGTGACTCATCAGGATGGAAGTACGACAATAGTTTAACTGCAGGCATGCCTCCTCGGATACAATGACGATAGAAATTTGCAGAAAGCAATTAGTAGCAGAGCATGAAACGTAATGCAACTTTTTTTTATCATTTTAGAATTGGAAACTGAGACTCAAAACTCTCACTACAATGAAAGGGATCAAAATGCTTGCAAGAGAACAGAAGTAAACACGCTTACGTTTTCTTTTCTCCATGTCTTCCAGCTGAACAGCAGGTACTTTTAATCCAGTAGAAGCAACAAGCGACTCCACAGTATCTTTAAAGCATCCATGTATAAGATACGATAAGACGATATTGTGGCTGTCATTGTCGTTAATTGTCTGCCAAGTTCATCGCAGAAAGTCAGAAGCTATGATTAGAAATTAAAAGAAGTTTCTGGATCAACCAGGAACAAGCTAAAAGGGAATAATTTTTACAAAATGGAAATCTTGAAGGTAAAGAGAAGTGTAAATGTTTATGATTTGGAACTCTTCAGCATCTGCAGCAAGATTTCTTATTTTGAAATGGCTGAGAAAACATTATTTATTGCATGCTGGACATAAAGAACAGTGTAAACAAAGTATCATGCTATTTTACACCTTAAAGCAACAAAGATGGAGAAAGCTGATATGTAAAAAGAAGCAATCTCAGATACGAGATGGCTTCAACCATATTGATCACAGCCACAATCAACGTCCAATGATTGTTTCACTCGTTCATCGAGAGACTTGACTAAAGATTATAACTCCTGCTAGAGACCCCTAATAAAGAAAAAGTGGGAAAAACAATGCTAACTGGTCTCTGAAGATGAAGCAAGGGACTCAAAACAAAAACTATTGATTTTGTTCACACAAAAACAATTGTCGTTGTTACTGAAACCATTATACACTGAATTTATTGGAAGCAGAAAATTATATACTAAAGATTATATTTAAACCTTTTGTGTTGAATGTTTGACCACATATGCATGCAAGTTTTCGATTTCCTTCTATGTTGTGTGTGGTGAGGGTGAGGGTGAGGGTGTGGTTGGTTATACAAGGGAAAACATTATGCTCGTCCTACACAATTCTCAAAATAGACTACACAGTATACACGTATTTTTGGTTTCATTTTTAGCCTAACCTTACTAGTTTTGGTCTAATGGCTTGTTGTTATTGTTTCAATAAACACATAACAACAATATAGTTTAATAACAATATTTAGTGACAAAACAACATATCATTCCAGGATTCCCTTAGAACAGTGTCAACCTATAAATTCTATGTTCCTCCTCCTTTGACTACAAGCAAAGTAAAATTGAGGGGTGACATGAGTCGTTGTAACTTCTAAGAATGTACGATGTATTTGGTTTCCATGTGAGGCCGCTCTTTTTAAGAGGAAATCAGACTAGAACTTGGCTTCCAAGAGACTTGGTTCTTTGTGATAGGGAAGTTAGTGCATCACATACTAGAAGAGATAATGTCATTTTCTTTCTCGATTGCCAAGTATATTTCCTATTACGTTAATATCAGAAAACAAAATCTTAGCAGCCATGAAGGATATTCATAACATCTCCTATGTCATAATACCTTGGAGGTTACCTGTACGCAGGTGATAATACCTTGGAGGTGGTGAGTTCAAGCCCCCTTCTCACTTTTCCAATTAAAAAGGAATTAACATTTCCAATAATCTTTAAAGTCTCAACTCTTGGAAAAGAAATGCTAGAAGGTCTAGATAGGATTTATGACAACAATCTCAAGATGTTCATATGAAAATGAATGAAGAGCTCCCCACATCATATCTTCACAAAGAGAGGATGGTCAAGTGCAGAGCATGCCACTCACAAATTCATGCAACGGTCAAAGGCCTTCACATGTCAAGATCTCAAGATCAAAGTTAACTTTATTAATAAGCAGCAAAGCATGGCATAATAACAAGCTCCCTAACTATCATCTTTTCCAAAAGTTCAAGAAAGCAACATGGATAATCACTACTATATCCTAGAATAATGAGAACAAGGCTCATTTACTTGGAGTTCCAGTAGAATTATATGTGTAAGATAGGCACCAGATCAAAATTGGTCGAACCCCTTTCTTCTGCTACAATTACAAAAACCATTAAGGTATTCTGTAATATACTGATGTATTTCTTTTTCCAAATGTATCTGTATTATTTTTGAGAGAAAATGTATCTGTATTATAGATCCTGTCGCCCATTACCACCTTAGACAATTTCTCAGTTAACAGCAACAGAGCATCATTGTCTTTGAGCATAATTGTTCAAAAGTTGAAGCAAACATTTTCATAACATTTTCATTTCTTAAACAAAATTCTGGAACTCCTTGAACCTAGTTTCTACTTTTCGAATAACTCAAACCAAAGTTACTTGATTGCCCATCTACTGCAAACTAAAGTTACTTAATTGCCCATTTTGGTGAAAAAATCGAGGATGCCCAGTTGCCCACTGGACCTCAAGTATCCCTCCCAGCAATACATGCATCCTTAGATTTGAATTTTTTTGAAGAACAGGCTTAAATGTTGGAATGAAGGTTGTAACATTCTCCAAATCACCCCCACGTTCTCAAGAAAACATATGGGCAAGTCGTTCAAATGTTGCAAATCACATTTCCGCATCTATCTAGTTTTAGACAGATTACATAATAGGGGTAAAAATATAAGCCTACATGCATGGCAATCACAAAGGCAACATAATTCAATGAATCTAGTATGCCATCCAAGATGTTAAGGATTGGGATAGAACCTCAAAAACCAAGAAACTAGTCATAGACTTTCTATGGATAAAGGGATCATCTGTTTTTTAAAGTGTTCTAGATTAACCTTGAAATTATGGGCTCTAGGCACAAACTAGAAGCATAGTCAAGCAATCATAGATGCAGATTGTTACTGAAAGTGTTCTAAATTAACCCTCAAATGTATGCATTCTGCTATGTCCTCCCTACACCCCTAAGTGCTCTCTGTAGAGAAAACCCTAACTTAGGGATCAGAATTTAAATACTGGAGAGTCCTTTTTGCAGATTGAAGGTGCAAAATTCCAGCACCAATGGGGATTTCAACCATCACCACAACTCCAGTCTAGATTGAAGGATTGCACTCGCAATTTGAAACTTAGGTTTTCGTCATGGACAGTACGCAAAGAGACTTCACCAACAAAACGAGTCAGGAAAGATGCAAAATCACGAACCCTCGAAAAACAAAAACGATAGAAAATCATCAACAAATCCAAAATCATTGGCTAAAATCAATGGCAAACAGTTGAAATACACATCGTTGACTAACAAATCATGCAGTTTTTCAAAGATTTGGGTGGATAAAAACTGATACTTGATCAGTAGAATTAATCAAACTCACGATGTTCTCGTACTGTCTCGGATCGACATCCATTGTTGAACGGCTTTCGTTTTGTTGAACAAGATTACAGCTCAAAATTAATGGGTAATTGTTATTTTTGGAAAATGAATTTGTGCGTGTATCATATTCATATGTATGTAACAATCAATTTGTGTACGGGTCTCAACATTATTCTGAAAATTCTACGTCTTCTTGCAATAATATGATTGCTTCCTAAATACATCTTCTTTTCGTCAATTACACTTTTTTTCCAAATAAAAAGTTAAATAAAATTGTAACAAATCCGTTTTTACCAATGGATTCTTTAAAATAAAGATTTTGAGAATTTTTTGTCCAATAAGTTTTTTAAAATAAAAAATAGAAAAGTTGATAAAATCTGTGAAAATAAGTATTTGGGGTTATTTGTTTACCTCCTAATAATTCCATTAAGAGGCAACCTTTGAATTGTTAAGAGGAAAATTTTATTTGGTAAAAAAAAAGTCTACATCTTAATGTATCTAAAACTCTCTGAATGATTTTGTATCATGGATCTCTCTTAACCATTAAGAGCCTTAATTTCATTGTACACAATTATCAAACAATTATATTTCATTTTGCATTATATCATGAGAGCCTCTTAATCATTCTGACCATTTAATCATTTTGTACCAAACCATTCAGCAATTGCCAAAGAACCCCTTAGATAATATAATTAGAGGTGGGTTAAATGGGTGATTATAATTTTTAAATTATTAAGAACCAGGTAAAGAGTTGTCATAACAAAACACAAGCGTCTTTTAAAGATATGGATTAAGACGGCAAATGTAGGTTTATATTATTATCATCATATTGAAGTATTTAAATTTATAAAAAAGTAGAAAATAATGTATAGATCTTAAAAAAAGTATAAAACTTCAACTTAAAAAAAAGGTCGAAAAAAAACTTAAAGAGCCCCACACCTTAAATGGATGCGATGAACGTGATGGAATGCGAGGAGACACCCTTGTCGTCATGGCATGCGACAGCGCCCACCGTCACGTAGTGGCTTTTAGACGGTAAACTTTTGATGAATAGATGCACCTTTAAGGTTGATTAAAAGTATGAATCAAAGGTTTGTGAAGTAGTCCAATGTATTTTTAGTCAAATTGCACCATTTCGAAATATTTTTTAAGTTTTTTTGTTTATTTCGATTAACTTTTTTTGGTTTATGTAGTTGATTTCGTGAGACTTTTCAATTTTTTTATTTATTCCAAATGACTTTTTTGGTTTTTTTTTTTTGTTGATGTTCCTTGTATTTTCTAGTATCTCAGAGCGCTACTCAATGTTTAGCGAGTGTACCTTTCATATCCCCAAAAAAATTGCTTATGAAAATTAAGGCTTTGCCCCCAGATTGCTTCGTGAGCTCATTTAATGGAGTGGGTCCATAGGTTCACCCCTCAAGAAGCTGGTTGTAACTAGTTAGTTGGTTTTAATTTTTGAGCGTCAAAGTGTTTGATTTTTTAGCGTCAAAGTTGTTGGGATCATGTATTTGTTTTTGACAAAAAGATTGGATTTATCAAGTAAAGCCAACAATTGTTGGAAACATGTACAATTGAATACAACGGGAACAAGAGAAACCCACATATCGTTGATCAAATATCTATCCAAGGATATTGACCAAAACATGCAGATAGGAAAGAGAAAAGTAAGAGTCTATTTGCTATCATTAATTTACATATCTTTAGGTTGTTGAATCCAAACATAAACTTGGTTTCCTTGGCATAGTTTTGCTTGAATCGCTAGACGTAAAGAAAAGGTCCAAGAACAAATGATCAATGTATTCATCCACTTCCTTGCCACGAGTATTAAACGTTACTTCCTTGAACGACACCCCTTTGTTGCATTGAAGTCATCACCAACAATACGCCTTGTACTCATAGTTGTAAGAAAAACACGACCTTGGATAGAAAGTGCTTTTGCCAAACCAGGTTGCATCAAATGGATTGCCAGATCTTTTAATATTTTATATCAAAATACTGAATGAGCAACCTATAAACACCTTTCTGGTTGTGAATATTGCACATGGTTTTGTACACATAACAAGATTTAAATTTTCATGACAATTCTTCGTCTCATTGATAAACATTTCGTTTTCCATCCTACTAATTTTTGTTTAACTTCACCACCTTTACCCAAATTTGTTTCCTAGAAGAGTTCACCCCAATCAGTACGTCCATGTATATAATTGGAAAAGAACCTACTCGACATTGAATCATATCAACATAACCTTGTATGTAACACCCGTGTTTTCTCGGTTAATCTTTTAAGAGTGTAGATTTGTTTTAGCAAGTCATCCGGTGTCCATCTATTATTGAATGTTCATGGCTTTTGAATCAAGAGTCACAATAGATTTGGGATGAAGAAAAGTTGTGTTGGAGGTCTTTTAAGGCATTTAGAGACCTTCGATATAACTTCGATCACTTGAGAGGTCATAAATCAGCTTAAAAACACAATACAGTGCCAAGCTAGTTATCAAGTGAGTTAAACTCACTTCAAAACTAGCACCAGGAATTTTGAGCTCGAGCTAGTTTCAGTGCTAGTTTAAACTACTAGTGAAACTAGCACTAGACACTGAAATTCTCGGGCTAGTTTCCACGCTAGTTTAAACTAGCAGTGAAACTAGCATGGAGGTCTGACCTGCACAAAAAGACCGAAAATCGATGTTTTCTCATTTTAGCCATAACTTCCTCATTTCTACACCGTTTGGGAGATTCTTTTTGCTATGGGTTCGTTTTTTTTTTTTTTTTTTTTTTTGAGATAATCAAGATGAGAACAATGATGATTAATAATTCCTTGATTATTTTAGAATTCATAGAAGTTGAAGGTAAGATCACATCTTTGTCCTTTGAATCTAGGGTTTGGTCTTTTTGCACCAACAACTCTCATTCTATCTTAGGTTCTTTTGTGTGTGTTTTGGAAGAAAATGAAGTGTTATTGAGAGCTTTCCACCAGATATTTGGAGTTGTAGTTTCAGAATTTCATCTCTTCACCAAATGAAGCTCAAGATTGGGGTAAAACCAGGATTTGCCCTAAATCTAGCAAGGTGAGTTCAAGTTGCTTTGTGAAAACTATGTACATGCCAAAATTGTTCATTTTGAAGTATTAACATGTTTTACTTACTACTTACCAAATGTGTGGGTTATTTGGTGAGTTTTAGCATATTTGGTATATTTTGTTTTATAAATCATCTAAAATGTTTATATGTGGGGTTTTGGACGTTTGGATAAATAAATCATAAGTGTAGGTCCTTTTGATAATTTATCCTTTAAATAAAGATTATTTGATGATAAATACGTATTATTGTGTTATGAGACTTTTTGGAAATATAAACGGTATGATTTTAATTGGAAAATGATTTATTCCAATCAATGATCTGTTTTTGAGTTAATCATGTCGTTGGAGCATGTATTTGCATAAACATCGGTTAAATACGTTCTATTGCTTTTAATGACTTTTAAGAAATAGTCGATTGAGTTGTTGAGCTTTTGGCTCATTTTGACTTAAATGAGTCTTAGGGACATTTGTCCGGTTTAATTTGCTTTATATCGAGCTTTTGGAATTACATGCAATTATGACATAATTATATAATATATTACACACTTTAAGTGTGTTAGGCATTCAGTTTGAGTCATGTAATTCTATGGCTAGAATGCAATAGATCCATAGGCATAGAAGTCAGTTTTAAGGAGTAAGTAAAGGATAAGATTCTAAAGTCATAACTTGGGAATATGCATTGTGATTATTATGTAATTTACAAGTGAACGAGTTTAACGTGACTTTTTATTATTATTGGAAATAGACATTGTGATGATTATGTAATTTCCAATTCATCTCTTATTGTAGCTTGAAAATACGCATTATGATTATTATGTAATTTCCGAGTAAACGAGCTTTCGATCACAATTGACTAAATGACTGGCTTGGGTTAATGTCAATGGTTTTATACCTAAAGTGATGCAGCTAGTAACATTAGCTTGTGGGTTACTTATGTGTTCCGTCACAATGAATGGTAAATCGGGTTTCCTCTTGTCATCTTCAGATGTTTTACACCCTTCCAAGGGTAAACGTGAGTTAATTGTTTTTAAGACTTGATTAAAGCTATGTTTCCCATTTTAGTGCTTTATAATTTTATTCTTGGTGATGTGAGTATTGAGTTTTGGTTGTGTGTAATTGGGTATTTTGATTAACGAGACTTCATCAAGAAAATGGTGGGTTTTCGGAAAGATGTTGCTTTTATGATAAATATATTTCAATTGCAAAATTATAAATTCAATAAACAATCTTTCAGTGTTACCGTCTTATGATTATGAATTTATGATGAAAACTTTTGAATTCACTAGATGTTTTAAGCCTAACCTTTTCCTTTGCCGGCATTTGCATCAGGTCCGTGGAAAAATGGTACTAGCGACACCATGATGAGATGAGTGCTAGATAGTTGCACGAGAAGGTTTTAGCTTGTCGTTGATGTCTTCCACCTTCGCAGATAGCGACAGTTATTGGGTTAAAGTAATATCCGATCTTATTTAGTATGTAAGGCTTTGTCTATCTTTTTGTTGATGATGATTTTGGATTCGATATTCGAGGTAATTCAAGTATTGATTAATAGAAAAGAAATTTACCCTTTATTCATTGTATTAATGAAAATATTAAGTTAGTCGCTCTTTCCATATTCGAGGGTGTTACATTGTAGCTCTTGACGAACATTGGCTCCATAAAGACTTCCAGTGTCCTTTTGATGTTGTTTAGCTCCTCAATGATGGATGTAAAAAAAGATAATCATGACATATGGAAACTGAGTGGTTTATCCTTGACGTATCGTCCACTGTGATTCCTTTTAGTGTTCCTTGAGACACGACTTTAGGAAGAAATGCACCTCATCATTTATAATGAAAAGAATCAAAGAAATCGGGATCACCTCGACTTGAACTCTTGTGCAATTCTATATCTTCTTGGAGAGCTATTTACAAGAATTTGAGAATTTTAACTGTTGAGATGCAAGCACTTATCAAAACGATAAGCCATTAAGAAGCTTGTACAGCCTGAATTATGGACTTAGGTGAGATGCAATCACAAGCCTTTGCAAAATCCATCTTAAAAACTAAGCTTGTTATTTTCCTCTTTTTCATCAAAAAGTAGATGTTATTGATCAACTTGATGTTATCTGGTATCTATCTAGGATTTAAATCGAACCAATCAAATCATCCATGTATATCAAAGTGTATTCAAACCACCTCTTAATTGTGAGAGGCATAACTCCCAACTCCCTTGGAAGACCTTGTTCAGTAACATGTCCAACATGGTCCAACCACAAGTCCACCCAAGCATCCTCTGTAAGAATTATTCGATCATGTGGCCTTATATATATATATAAGTTTTATTAATCCATTATTAATAACTTAATTATAAGTTATATATTAATTAAATCTCACATTATATAACAGGTCCTCCAGTTATTGTGATGGGCAATGTTGGTCCCTGTACTTAACTATAAATATTGGTGGTTATCATTTTCAATTAACGGTCAATTGCCCAAAATCTCTCTCCAGAAAAATACGTATGCACCAAAATTCATGTTGAAATTGGGAGATCAAGAACACTAATAAGTCCAGATGGGCAATCAAGAGAGTAATTGAAGGATAATATTAATGACTTCATCTTCTTCTTCCAGTAAGCATCTTATAAAGTTCCCTTCAAGTATGTATTTTCTTCTCCATTTATCATCAAGAATCATATATGATGATGTGTAAATCAATCCTTGGTTTTAGTTTGATGTTGCCCTGTCAACATCCTCGTTACTATAATTTCCAACTTCCTCTCACGGATCTTCTATCTCCCAATACCGCGACCAATACAACATAGTTGATTTAATCGCTACCCTATATAATTTTCTCTTCGTTATAGTTGTACCTTCTTGTCAGACAACACCCCCGTGGTAGCAGTCCACTTTAGTCAACCTGCCTTTTATATGTGTGATTTGTTATGTCATCAAAGACCTTTCTCTTGTTTTGAATTGTAGATCTTAGATACTTTAACATATTATTTAAGGTATTACTTGCCCTCAATGTTGACTTCTACCCCCTTGTCAATACACTCCATAGTGAAAAATTGCAACAAATGTATTTGGTCTTAGATATGCTACTACAATAATACATAGGCCTTGAGTTTCTAATGTCACTCTCTATTATTTCGTTCAATTCAGCTTTCAAGTTTGCTACCAGCACATCATTCGTAGAGATCATACACCAACGTGCACATCTTGGAATCCCTTGGGTAATTTAATCTAAAATCACAACAATTACGAATGGGCTTAGTGTTGATCTTTGGTGTAGCTCTAACTCCAGCAGGAAATACTAACCCTCAACCAATGTATAAAGGCTTATTGGTTTTGTTGATAACGTGTGGTGCGGAACTTTGCAAACGTGCTAGCACACTAAGGACGATTTTATATGATAAGTTCATGAGACTAATCAATCGTGTTGATGTAAGTGTATAGAAATGCATTTTACATTTATTTACACTTAACAATCATGTTTGTTTTGATGATTGACAAACATAATCCAACATGTTATGAACTAATATTTTCAGTGTTTTGTGTTAGAAAAATATTATTGTCGTGTTCATAAAACATCAAAAGTCGATTACGTAAATTATCAAGAATCATCTTGTGGAATGTGGCATTAAAATATTTTCACGAACAATTTCTTGGAAATGTGTCATAATGTTTATCCAAAGATTAAATTCAAGGCAACTATTTGAGAATTTCAGTAAAGATGAATTTTATCGAACAAAAAGTTCCCATGATCAAAAGCAAATATACTTTTGATAAGTTAACAAATTTTCAAAAACTCTTGTAAAACAACCAAGTATGTTTCAAAATGTAAGACTTTGTGAGAAGTCACCGTTTTGAGATAAATTAAAGTTTACTCTAACCTTTTGACATTAAACTTTTACAGAGTTACGTTCATAAAAATCAAGCTTCATTTCTGAGTATTTCAAAGCCAAATATACTCATCCAAAAATAAAGAACACATCACTCGAGTTTATCATTAGATAACCAAATTGTAAGTGATCGAATTTTGTACGAGTGTTCCACAGTTTGCTTAGAAAAACAAAATCGATTATAGTAATAATCCATGTTATGGTTTTTATTCTAACAAAAAGAGTAGCATATACCAGGGCTCTAAGAAAGTGGATTAACGAAGTTAGTTAACCATTCTAAATATTAATTTTTATTTCTGTTCAGTAATTGTTTACATTATTTTAGTTATGACGTGGCATTAATGTCACCTATAATGCTCATAGGATAAGTTATATTTAAAGTAGTTTCTAATTTCGTTTATTAAGCTTATAAGTTACTTAAGAAATAATGCTCTTGTAGTTCAAAGGTCGTTATGATGATTTACATACAAATTTTATGCAAGATATAAGTTTATTGGACAACTAGACACTCATATTGAAGTTTATAAATGTGATTATCTAAACTTAGGTTCTTGAATTGGTGAAAAGTTACTCTAAGAACACAAACTGAAGTGGGTATTATGATTTATGCTCCCATTTTGGTATCCATTCCAGAGATTGTTGATGAAAAGACGTTGAAATGATATCAATATGCTATTTTCATATTAAAACAAACAAATACGAGTAGAGGAGCTGTATTTTGTTGAAGTATTTAATGTTCTTAAGAAGTCAAAAGTTCACTATCATTGATTTTTTGTTTCAAGAATATTTCATAGATCTAAGTAGATATGCACAAGGTTTGTGCTTTTTTAGGCCTGGAACTAAACCTTCGAAGCTCATTTTCAGTGAGCAAAATGACCCGAGTTTATTTAGGCACAGGGTCTGACTTTAGGGGTTGAAAAAGGGCCCAATAGAGCTTTTTCAAACAGGGTTCTTTTTGGGCTTAACTGGGTTTTCCAGGACTTTTTAAATCTGGAAATGCCCCCAAAAGTTAGGTCTGGCCTGGATCGGACTTTAGGCTCACTAGGCCCAGACTTTAGGTTTGATCTTCTTTGTGCATCCCTAGATCTAAGCATGTTATGATTTATAATATAAGTTCTTTGGATTACTACATAAGCATATCAAAGAGTACTTACTAATATAAAGAGAATAACACCATCTAAGCTTTTTCATAAAATAAGGTCAAATTACGAAGAAACGTAAATGTGTTTATTCATTTTGATTTGAATAATCAAAATATAATGAATTACGTTTTAATATCTTATATAACACATTTTATTACCTAAATTTCCATGCATAAACAACAAACTATTGACTCAAATAGACATTTCATTACTTGAACTATTCGTGACGTCTGTCTCATTATTGTTGTCTTATAAGTATTTATTGATATCTTCTAGCGAGGTTCTGACAATATATCGATATTGATTAGTAGCTAACGACATTCGTGAGGAACAATTACGTTGCATGTTAACCGAAGTCTATATCACAAAATTAAAAACCAATACTCGAAGGTTCTCGGTTTACAACTTTCTAAAGCACTCCGTGCTTATCACATATTTCTTAATGGAATCTCAAACAACATTAGGAAAGTTGAGATTCCATTAAGAAATATGTATCACTCTTGAGTCTCTACAAGTTATGCTTAGAATTACAAAAAGTCTGGTTCAAAACATACCTGGTTTTGTCCGCAAAACCTACTTCGTGTTAGACCCTGTCATTAATGCCTCATTGGTCCTGATCCAATTTTATTGCGATTATTGTTAATTGAAATAATTTTAATTTTAATTGGTTAAATGTCTTAACTTAAAACAAAAATTAAAATACTAAAAATAAAACAATTAATGTTTTAGAGAAATATACTATTTTTTTTAAAATTTTTAATGCAAAATGACAAATATTGCTGAAAATCTAACCAATAAAAAAAATTAAAATACACCTATGAGAAACCATGTATTTTGTTTTTATTAACCTTGGTCTAGAAGGCTTACGTATCTGATGTCGACGTGACTCAACGTGCGTATCCGGTGCCATGATAAGTTCATGGCTTGATGCATGGTTTTTATAAGATATTATTTGATCTCATACACATTTTTAGTTTTTAATATATAATCTAATTTAAATTGTTTAATATCATTGATTTGAGTAATTATGAAATACATACGTGCATATGTACAAATGCATATATGATATACAAATTTCCTGCTATAAGTCACACCTTAAAAAACGTCGTTTGAGGTTTAATCTCTCCATCACTCAATATTTCACGTCATTTAGAATCTTGATTTTAGGTTGTTTAGAAAAATGAAATAATTTTTTTTCTTGAAAATATTTTTATAATTTCATTTATTTACAATAAATAAAATATCTTATCCGGTTTAACTGCACCTTAAATGTTTATAACGTTTACATTTGTATAAATATTTGATTATTAATTAAAGATTTTTTTTTATCAAATTAATGTCAAACCAAATTTTATATGATTGCAGACCGTCAGTTAATTAAATATTTGATTACATTATTTTTAATCAAGGTAGTAAACAAGCTGAACTCGAGCTTGACTTCACAATCTTCAATTATAATTGAAACTTAGAGACCGTTTATCAAACACTTACCCGATAATTGTTTAACGGTAAAATTTAATACTGTAATTTTTGATTGAAAAAAATAAAAAGAAAGACGTGGAGAAGCAGGCATGTGTCGACATCAAATCGACTTTTGACTTTAACGATAAACCATTCATCTCACTGAAGCACGTCCCGTGTTTCCCTTTCACCACCCTCCGCCCTTCCAGAACAACCCCCAATCCACCATCTCCCCCAATTCTATCTCTCGAAATGGTTTGGCTATGGCGGATTTCACCTCTCTTCTTCTTATTCTTCTTCCCTCTTACCTCTTTTTCAACCTCCACCACGTCTGATCTTTTCCAACAATGGTGCCAACAACACGGGAAATCCTATTCCACGGAGGAAGAGAAACTCTACAGGCTCGATGTTTTTCAAGACAACTACGCTTACATTCTTCGTCACAACAGTGATGCCAATTCTTCTTTTACGCTTGCACTCAATGCCTTTGCCGATCTCACTCACCATGAGTTCAAGCTAGCTCGATTGGGCGGTCTCTCCGCGTCTGCTTCTTCCGGTGATTTGATTAGGCTTAATCGTGGTGGTTTGTTGATTGAATCATCAAATGATCTACCAAAATCTTTGGATTGGAGGGAGAAAGGAGCGGTTACTCCTGTTAAAGATCAAGGGAGTTGTGGTATGTGTTTGTGTATATCTTTGTTCTAAATATCTTAATCTGCTAGTGCCCTGACTAACATAGATATAGCTACTGCTCATGAGATTCATACCTAGAGGTCAGCATCCCAGTCAAGTCCGTGAAATATCTCTGATTTGTATTGTAGGTTTATTGTTCTGATTGATGTGTTTTGGTGGCGTTTCGAGGGATGTTGATTTGGAATAGTTTTGCTCGTTGTAATGTCTATTTTGATGTTATTTATATAGTATCATCTTTTACCTTCCCTTTATGGAAGCCCTAGATATTGATTCAATGATTTCTTCATGTTTGTTAGATGACCTGATAGCATGATCCTATGCATATACTCCATCCATTCCGAAATACATTATCATTTCTTCTGTAGATTGCAACAAAAATAATGATCCGGTAGCAAAGTTATGTAATAACTGAATTTCAAACTAAGCACATTGTTTTAAATTGACAACAGGTCAAGTTGGGACGCATGGTTATGTGACTTGGTGGTTATAAACAAGAAAACATTGTTATGTTGGTATGCAACTTGGATGTTTCATCCTTTGCAACTAAAGTGCCTGCTTCCATGTTACATAATTATTCATTTAGATTATAAAATTGGTTTATCTTCATACTTAAGTTATATAATATACTGTGCAACAAAAGTCTATATATAGTAAAGAGAACTTTTACCCAAATGTTGTATAATATTTGTATTGCATAATTGCTGCTCTCCAATTCTGTGCAACCAACGTATTTGACTGGATGGTTTATTTTTGAAACGGTTTGTCGTGCAGGTGCATGCTGGTCATTCTCAGCCACAGGAGCAATGGAGGGCATTAATCAAATCGTAACTGGATCCCTGATCAGCCTTTCTGAACAGGAGTTGGTTGATTGCGACAAATCCTTCAACAGTGGCTGTGATGGTGGACTCATGGATTATGCCTATGAATTTGTGATACAAAACCGTGGGATTGATACCGAAGAGGATTACCCATATCAAGGGAAAGCAACTTCTTGCAATAGAAACAAAGTAATTAATTCCTCTATTATTTCCAGCTTTATCTTAATTCAACTTTCTAATAGTTAATCAACTCGCCTATTGTTTGCTTCGTGTGTCAATTCAGCGGGATAGAAAAGTTGTCACAATTGATGGTTACAATGATGTTCCTGAAAACAACGAAGATCTGCTACTACAAGCTGTTGCAACTCAACCTGTGAGTGTGGGTATATGTGGCAGCGAGAGAGCATTTCAGTATTATTCAAAGGTTAGTGTTCCTAATCACCCCTCCCCCGAGAAAGAAAGAAATAGAAAGTTGCCAAGGGATTTCAATGGCTTATATTGAATTGTTGATCAGGGAGTATTTAAAGGGCCATGCTCGACTGCTTTAGATCATGCTGTACTGATAGTTGGATACGATTCAAAAGATGGAGAAGATTACTGGATTATAAAGAATTCATGGGGAACATCATGGGGAATAGATGGTTATATGTACATGGCTCGTAACACAGGGAATTCCGATGGACTCTGTGGGATCAACATGCTAGCGTCTTATCCAATAAAGACTAGCCCTAATCCACCCCCATCTCCTACTCCAAAACCCGTCAAATGTAATTTGTTTTCCTGGTGTGCCGAAGGCGAAACCTGCTGTTGTGCTAAAACGATTCTTGGGATATGCTTTAAATGGATGTGCTGCGAGGCGAGTGCCTCTGTATGCTGTAAGGACCATCGTCACTGTTGCCCTTCTGATTATCCCATCTGTGATTCTAAAAGGAACTTGTGCCTCAAGGTTAGTTTATGCTTTTTCTTCTACCTGCTTCTTTTGTATGTTATTGCTTTTTCTTAACCAGTTTTTCAAATATTTATTACATTTGTCTTTCTTCACGGAAATACCCTCTCTACTTTTGGGTTAGAGATTGGTATGCGTACTTCTTACCCTCCCTACGTTTGATTTGGTAATTTGATTAAATTGCTCTTTCACCCAGGTAATTTGGTTACTCACTCCTTTTGTTCACAAACGTTTATGTCCTCCATGTCTTTTACAAACTGATCTCTCAAAACACCTCTGTCACCTGTGAAATGTCCAATGTTTTCATGTTTTTCTTCCCAACTTTTCAGCTTGTTCTTGCATTATGCTCTTCATTGCACAACATTCTTCATGAAATTGTGAAGCTATGCTCATGTATTTTAACGAACACAACCTACAACCTTCCCTTGTTGATTATTACCTTTGAATTGCAACTGTTGCTGATGGTTTATATTACTTGTACATTTGTTTCAAGACAAGTACATTGTGTTCTTAATTTCTTCTAATAGTCATATGGACATGATCACAGCAAACAGGCAATGGCACGGTAGCGAACCAGCCTAAGAAGAACAGCAGTTTTGGGAAATCAAGTGGCCGGAGTTCCCTCCATCAGCAATACTTCTAAATTCATCAGTAATGGCAGTAGCAGTTGATGATCAATTAGACTTATTCATAAACCATTGCCATTTGTAGACTCAGAAATTTTTGGATTTTGGTCCTTTCTTTGTAACGGTGCTTGCATATAAAGGCTAGAACTCTGAATTTATAGTGTCGATTAGTGCAAAAAGAGGCATCACGTGAATATGCTTTGTTAGAGATCATTCATTATATTAATCAAAGATTGGTCTATTTCTCTCAGGAAAAAGAGTTGATGAATGTAACAGAAGCTTTGAAGTAATAGATTCATTTTTCTATTCCCAAAAGGATCCAGGTTCCACGTATTCACAGAAACCCAACACATTCACAAATGAATACCCATAGAATAGTGTTGATGATAATGATGGATTTCAGTAATGCGTATCAGAATCTTTACAAGGCTATATAAAGGGATTATAGCAAACCCACAAAAATCAAAATTGACAACTAATTGGGTACCTATAATCATTCATCATAATCAGGAAGATGACGATGATGATGATGGAAACACATCTTTAACAGCAGATGCAGCAGATAAGTAATTAAGCGTATTCCTCAACGTCTCTTTCTCTCTTTTCAACCTCACCATGGTATCCTCCAACTCCAACAACGCCTGCTGCTCCCTCGGCGCCCCTTCAAACGTACTCCCCACGAAAAACGAAAACGGCGTCGGAAATAGATTCCGGCGTAAATCTCCGGCCTCTTTCTCCGGTTTCCCATTCAATCGATTCGATAACCTAATCACATCTTTCATATGGCTCTCCACTTCGCTAGCCAGCCCTTCTAAATCCTCCTCGCCGTTCCCCGACGGCCGGTCCTCCAACCACACCACCTCCGCCACAAGATAGGGTTTGGTGCGAACCACTTTCGTCACACGGAACCGCTCTTGACCTTTACATATGATGAAGAACCTGTCATCGACAAGACGTTCGTGTTTCACGACCTCTCCAACGCATCCCACATCCGCCGTACCGGAGGTTGCATCGGTGTAAATAACGCCGAATCGGAGGTCGGTTTGGAGGAGAGTGTGCATCATGATACGGTAACGGTATTCGAAGATCTGTAACGGGAGGATGGCGCCGGGAAAGAGGACGAGTGGGAGAGGGAAGAGAGGTAGTTCGACGATATCGTTGGAATTAGGGGACGGAGTGTTTTCATGTTTCTCGGAAAACGAAGAGGACGAGCAGCGAAGGGAGGAGGTGTGGTTCCGGTGATGGCGGCGGCGGTGGGGAAGGGAGATAGAATTGAAATTAGAAGGCGAAAATGAGAGGGTATGGGGGTTTAAGCGGTGGTGGGTGAGGTAAGAGGAAGAAGGGGAAGGGAGGAGCTGAGGGAGAGCCATTAGTGTGTGTGTGGTTTTCAAAGAAGGACAGAGAGTGGCATTTGGGGAAGATGAAGGAGATGGAGTTTCTCTCTCTAGAAGTTTTAGAGAGAGAAAGTGAAGGTTTTTGGTGGATTTGGAGAGACCACCGTATGATGTGGATAAGAGTTTTTGTTTGTAATTTTCTCTGTGGTTACCAATTTCACACGTGGAATTTTTATAGCTTTTACAAGAATTTTCTTTATTCGAAAATAATAATTGGCAATGACATCATCTTAATCCCGTAAAAAGTTAATTGCTAACAATCTCAACTCGTCTACATACGAAGACATCATCTTATTTTACGTGTTTCTGTTTGATTTTTAATTGACCAAGTTTATAAGGTTCTGAACCAGCGTTACACATATCTAGACTGAACAAATCTTTCTTATGGTTCGTCGATGCTCAAATGGCATCATTGGCATGTTGAGTTTCATTCGGTTTTGTTGTAACTGTTAATAACGTGTCGATGAGTGTGATCAAAATTGAAAGTGGATGAAGTTTCAAGAAAATAGAGTTCAACTCGCTATTAAGATCACGTTGAAGAGTAATATTTTTAATGTGCAAATTTAACATCTGAAATAGAAAGTTATGAAATAATGACGAAATTTGTTGAACTTATAGATTTATGGTAAGTTGTAATTAATTTCCAATAAGATATTGTCATACATTGAAATAAGAACCGAAAATGATGTTTTGTTGGGCAATAATGCATGTATATTGTTGTTATGTAGCCCTTGTGAGCATGCGACGTTATATGGAGAAAGTATTGAAACTATTACTTCATTTATTTTTGGGAAAATTGTATCAAAATGAAACCAACTTTCACTTAAATTTTATTTTGGGGAACTAATTTTTAAATTGTCATTTAGGGGTTTCTATCAAACTTTTTGTTTATTTAAGGGTCTGGTTGACATGTTAATGCTAACATCATCCAGATCTTTTGTCAACTAAAATATTCCACGTCATATTAATTTTTTATTTTAAAATTAATATTCTACGTCATATTTAAAATTGCAAAATAATTATAGAAAAATAACTAAAATTCGTTTTTTTTCAAAAATTATTGTAATAAAATATATTTTTCATTCTAAATCTTGTTTTTAAAAAAAAATCAAATATCAAATTGATAATTTTTTCAAAAATGGACTTCTTTAATCACAATTTGATATCTGATTTTTTTATTTAAAAAAACGAGATTTGAAATGAAAAATAGATTTTATTACAATAATTTTTGGAAAAAAAAACGAATTTTAGTTATTTTTCTATAATTATTTTGTAATTTTAAAAATGACGTGGAATATTAGTTTCAAAATAAAAAATTAATATGACGTGGAATATCTTAGTTGGCAAAAGATCTGAATGATGTCAGCATTAAAAGGCAACATGTCAACTAGACCCTTAATTAAACAAAAAGTTTGATATAGATCTCTAAATAACAATTTTGAAAGTTGGTTCCCCAAAATAAAAATCAGATGAAAGTTGGTTTTATTTTGATGCAATTTTCCCTTTATTTTTTGAAAAAAATAACTTTTAGTTTATCTGGCGATAAAAAAATATAGTGTTGTATTGGCTAGTGTTTCTATGGATATGCATACACAATCATTATACATAGTTCATTAGAGGTGAGGTTGATTTTTAGGTTTTGAAGATTCATCGCTTTTTGATCAAGTTATTGATCATTGAGACACAAAATGCACAAATATATAGAATAAATACAAGATGAAATACTTCCATTACGATCATATTTTATGACAGATGAACCGATGACATGACATTAAATGACAACCTCCTTAAGTCTAAGCCTATGTTGTCTAAGACATCAACTTGTTTGTTTTTGTAATATGAAGGTTTTGAAGTCTTTGGTGACGATGAGGTACAACTTCGTTGAATCCATGATGACAAACTCTTTGTTCATCTGGTCGACTATGACAGGGAGTCATTGAAGACATTTAGCTTCGTGCAATAAGGGTTTCATGCTCGGCTAATTGTTGTTGGTTGCTTTGAAGTTACATTTGACAACTGGCATAGCCATGTCCCGATGTTACGAATTCAACATGATATCAATTTCCAAGCCCTGCTTCTAAAATATTTGACAACTCTTATATGAATAACATACATGGCTTAGTCTTGTCGACATCATTCACTTCTTATAGTTCCTTGCTAGCGATGTATCCAATTGAGGACTGAATCGACCACAAAATCCGCAAATGCTGCTTAGGGGACGCGAGTTTGAGGAACGTCAACAACACCCTCTAGCAAGACAACGTCCACATGCATGACCAGATTTTTGAGATCCAGGGGACTCTCCAAGGTTATCATTTCAATGATGAGAAGTGATCTTATCTTATGTGTACATGTATTATTCGTCTCAACCATTGGAGTTGTAAATAATACATTTAACATCCGATCAAACACTTAGAAATAAATTCTTATACACTTATCTTACAATAAATGTATCCACTGAACTACATACATCAGATATAAAGGATTAACATCCAAACCATAAGCTTACAGTTTCGAATGTTGGACATTCATCGGATCCTTAGCTTATGTAAGTTGTGAGATCAAATCTTTTGTCTTGACTATTCTCTATTTGATTAAGAGAATCCGATCGACACACTCTTTGGTTATTTTATCTTGAGTTTCAAAAATCCATATTTTATACTAAGTTATTTTAGAATCCGATGAATCAACTTCATAAATATTCTATAGCTGGAAATCCGATCTATAACTTATATTTCAAAATAGAAAAAAGAGAAAAGTAAATTGATTTTTCTTGAACTGAACTGAATGTAACTTGTATTTGTTGTTATCAATGGAATATTGAAGGCAATGAGTTGGGAACTCTGTATTTATTCCTAGATTCCTTCGAACTTTCCCATCTGGAGGTCCAAGATGATTCCATGCTCTGCTTATGCAAATTGGGAGTGCTGGCTCGGGAACTGGACTCAAAATCGTAGTCAAATCAAAGGATGTTACATACAGTAGTCACAACAATTACGTGATTACTCTTTTTTGTCTTGCAACAATGGTAATTTGACTCTCGAGGTCATAATTGATTTTCCAATAACATTATGTGCATCAATTTTATCATGTTTCTAAAATTAAACGTTCTCTAATCATGCATTATTTAAATGTTTTTAATAGTTGAAATATGTAAATTGAACGAGTCTCTCCTATGTAAAAAAGTAAATTTCAAGGGATTTTGATTTCCATTTTAAAGACCGCCTCCTCATAGACATTTCTTTGTTATTAATTATATTTTCTTGTATTGAATGAACCATGTGAAACCCACCCCTTAGGAGCCACATGTGAGGAGACATTTCAAAGATGACTTAGCACGCAGAGGGATACTTTAGCACGCAGAGGGATTCAAGCCTGTCTACCGCAGGATTTGAAGTTGATGTGTATTTGAGTAAAGTCGCTCGAGGCCTTTTCATTTTTCATTTATGATAAAATTTCACACTTGCTCATGCGGTGCATTGCACGTGCACACGACTAGTGTATGCGTGTGTGTGTGTATATATATATAAAGAGAGAGAGAGAGAGAGAGAGAGAGAGAGAGAGAGAGAGAGAAAGAGAGAGAACAGGTTCCGAATACAACCACTTTTATTGTTACAACCAATGCAACCAGATTTAGACCGTCCATTGTTCTTATTTTATTTCCGTTTTTTTTGGCATGGAGTGTAGTTTTTTTTGTCTAATTCATGTTTGCAGAGAATTACTGTATTTTTAATATTTATTTACTGCATGATTTTCCAACTGGATTTAATGGATATTAATTATTTTTATTAATTTGTAACTGTATTGGAAAGGATTGCTGTCTTCTTCTTCAATGCATCCGTATAATTCGATAGTTTCCGAACTGTTTCCTGTATCAGACATGTTAACATAACCCAACCAAACTCACACTCATGAAACTACATTCCATTGTTACTACATTTTAATGAAACCATAATTTGCATAAAGGAAATCATATTCATGTATTTGAGGGTATCTTTCATTGCTTCTCACCGATGATCAAACACTATTCAACTTATTAATATTTACATATTCAATAGGTTTCCACAGGTGTGAAACAAAGTATTTTGATATTTTATTATTTACAGGTTCATAAAAAAGATTTTAATGATGGAATACAGATGATGTAACCAAGATCATTTACAATAACTACTGATAACGAAAATATGCTACCATATTTAGAAGTGGAAACAAATTCCTTTACACTAACCCTGAATGTTCGATGAATTTCTAGGGAAAGTGTATAATAATGAACCCGATTTCCCGCGTATAATCTCCAAACAAACGAGATTTAATGTTTTCCCCCTAAATTACGCCTAAATGCCCTTAATTAATTTTTAAAAAATAATTTGAAAGATTATTAATTATTAACCCATTTTACCGTTGATCAAATATATATATATATATATATATTTAATTATATATATATATATATTATATCCGTTTATGGGTCATTTAAGGGAGAATTGAGTATTTGAATCTGTAAAGATGTAATCTTAATTAATTTAAGTCAAGAGTTAAAGTACCGATGTTTTTAATTTTGGCAAGAAAACGTCTATATGAAATTATGTGTATTTTTTCATATCGCTATCCCCTCCACGAGAACACTTGTGAACAAAATATGTTGTGGATCACTATCAAATATATTGTTTCAATTAAATATTCTGACCGGTAACAAAAAAAAAATACAGATCTCTAAAAACATTGTGTAAAAACTTGTATATACATTATGAACAATTAATTAATTTTTTTTATGGGGAGTTATCGATTTCCAATTTATTTGGGGAATAAAATTAATTTAATGGTTTTATGAGTTGTATTTTTTTTAATTACTAAATTATATTTTTAAAACTATTTAATACATAACATAATGATATTATATTTAAAGCTCATATTAAATCTTATAAATCTCACAAATTCTAAGAAAAGAAATCTGAACCTCACAACTTCACCACTGAATTATTTTCATTTTTGGAAAGTTGAAAAATATGTCCAAACGTTATGATGCAACGACGTATGTCTCTTGATTTTGCAAATTACAATAACGTGAGTATTAACT